TTTATTAATCACAAATTTATATTTTTGTTATCTATCATCATCGTCCATATTATCCGTCCCAATACATGATCGGATCAAACAAGCAGACGCCGTAACCATAACCGCCGCGAAAACCGAAGGCACAAACAAATCGTAACTAGATCTCTTCACCATATGAGACGGCACACACACACTCTCTCCGGGAAACTCCGTCGGAATCTTCACAAACCCATCTCCTCCTCCGTCGCAAGAAGACGAAACCGTCGACACAAACGCCATCTCCGGAACAAACGAAGCGACGGCGACGGTGAACATTAAAAGCACCGTCCACGTGGCAGCCTGAGCGATGACCGGCCAACGATCGGAGACTCTCCGAAGAAACGACTCCATTAGCGACGGAATACGATGATACATTGGGGGTTGTTTTAGCGTGAAAACAAAAGAATTAGGTGTTATTGTAAGAAAACGAAAAGATTATGGGGATCGATGAAGAAAACCAAAAAAGCTCTGTTTTGCGGTTTGGAAATGGAAAGGCTGCTGCTTCTTTGCACGTTTAACTAACTGTTCTTCTTTTCCGAAAGACAACAGTTGTTAAATTACGGATTTACCCCTACCTTTGAAATCTTCTCTTTTTTTTTGCACCTTCTTTTCCGGGTCTTCTCCTTCTTCTCCCTTTGAGACTCCCACGTTTTCTCTCGACCATAGCAGAAACAAATTTTGTATGCTAAATTAATTATGGTTAGGTCTGTGCTATATAATTTATGAACAATATAGAATTTGGAATTAAAGCTCTTTTTTTTTTTTTTGTTGGTGGGTTTAATCAGAACTCTTCATTATAGTTAAGTTGTTTCACCTAAATTTGATGCTTACTTATTGCCTGCGTGTGACAGGACAAGACCGATTAAGACATTTGAAGTTAAGCAAGTAAAACTCTTCAATTCCAGGAATTGGACTATGTAAAATTTTGTAATGTCGAAAGCTTCCAATAACACTAGAGAAAATTTTGCAAATTTGTGTATGAGAAGAAATTATCATTCTGTTTTCAACAATCTATCAAGCTTCATTTGTAAATTGTAAAGGAAAACGATTTTAATATATCATATACTTAAAAAGAAAAAAAGAGTGAACAATCATCTCTTCTTTTTCCTAATTACAGTCACAATAAACTAACCAAGCATCTAATTTTCTAACATTGCGCATAAACCCAAATCGAAATCTCTAAAACCATAAAACCAATTTCTTCAAGAGCTAGTGAACTTGGTCACGGCCTTAGTGCCTTCAGACACGGCGTGTTTAGCGAGTTCACCAGGTAAACGAGTCTAACCGCTGTCTGAATCTCCCCTGAAGTAATCGTCGGTTTCTTATTGTACCTAGCGAGTTTTGAAGATTCCTGAGCAAGTTTCTCGAAGATATCGTTGATGAAACTGTTCATAATCCCCATAGCTTTGCTCGAGATTCCGACATCTGGATGCACCTGTTTCAGAACCTTGAAGATGTAGATCTTGTAGGTTTCGATGCTTTTCTTCGCTCGCTTCTTCTTTTTCTCGCCGGATTCCTTATTCGGCAGTTGTTTCCCCCCGCCTTGAGATTCTTCTCCGCCGGAGCTTTTCCGGCGACTTTCTTCTCTTCCACCGGTTTCTTCTCTGCCTTAGGTGCCATCGTTAATTTTCCTTTTGATTTTCTCGGGATTGAAATGATGAGATTTTAGTATTTATAGCACAAGAACTAACGATTTCTATTCGTTAAGAACACTTGACGAGGATTAATGACGTGTACAATGATGAATCGTCGGATCTATCGATTTCTATAATGATCTGACGGTTGAGAGAAACGTGACCCAGCCCAAAAGTAATAGCTCTGATCGGCTTTAATGATCATGGTAAATAAGCCCACTGGGCCTGAAAGGAAGCTCAAAACGCAGCGCATGAGCATGTTTTATTTTATTTTTGGGTCTAGTATAAAAACCGATAAGAAAACCCTAGCTCTCCTTCTCTTCTTCCTCTATTTGCTTTTCTCCGTCACTGAGCTCCCTTTGCCTCTCGAGCTTTACCAATCTAAGGTACAATAATCTTCACTCTCTTTGAGAAGTGTCTTTTTGTATGTTTGATAGCTAAATTGATATTGGGTTTTGTTTATCTGTTGTTTCGCATCAGAGGAATTTAGGATCTCTGAGATTTTCTTTCGATTTTGTTGTTGTTAGGTAACATTCATAGTGAACTTAACATATTAGTCAGTCATAGATTTCATAATTTCTGGGTTTTTATGCCACGAGACCTCTGTTTCGATTTCATTTGGTGATTTTCGTTTACATCTAAAAGGTTTGACTTTTTTCGTATTGAAATCGATTACCATGGTGCGAAATTTCATGAATGGCTTGATGTATCAGATACAGAAATATTGTCGGGTTAGTTATTGGACAATTGTTAACTCGAGCTCTTGTTATCCGTGTGACATTTTTAGCAGAGGCTTGAGCTTTAGTGCAATATGGTGAGAATCAGTGTGCTCAACGATGCTCTCAAGAGCATGAACAATGCTGAGAAACGAGGCAAGAGGCAGGTCATGATCAGGCCATCCTCAAAAGTGATTATCAAGTTTCTTATCGTCATGCAGAAGCACGGTATGATTTTCCAACCATTTTTTTAGAATTCATTTACAATCTTCAAAGATCTTTGTGTTTCGTTCCTTATGTTGTGTGGATACCAATATAAAAATGTAGGTTACATTGGCGAGTTTGAGTACGTCGATGACCACAGATCTGGCAAAATCGTTGTCGAATTAAACGGAAGGTTGAACAAGTGTGGTGTTATCAGCCCTCGTTTTGATGTTGGTGTCAAGGAGATTGAAAGTTGGACTGCCCGTTTACTTCCTTCGAGACAGGTTCGGTCTTTTTATACCATTTTGTAACTATGCAATGGCCTGAATTAGCTTTAATAGCCGCTTAACTATAAAGCCAATCCCGGGAAATGTTATAGAATCACTTTGCATACCTGTTCCAATACCTCTATGTTAGTATGTGTTGCTTGTCTCAAGATTTTAGGGTCTTGAAGCTAAGGGTCTTGAATGGTATTAACTGATTTAGCTTACTTAAAATGTGCAGTTTGGGTACATCGTTCTGACTACTTCCGCGGGAATCATGGACCATGAAGAAGCCAGGAGAAAGAATGTCGGAGGCAAGGTTCTCGGTTTCTTCTATTGAAGTCTTATGGGGAAAGAGATTTTCATTCAGTGGTTTTAAACTTTTACCCTCCATTTTCTTTGAAAAACTTCCCTTTGTCATTTCTTTCGAATTTTGTGACAACTTTGTTGGATAGTTCTTAAATTACTACTCTTTTTGGTCTCGAGTTCTTAAAAGATTCCTTTGGACGTCGAAATGTTCTCGTTATCTTCGATTATTATTTTAGAGTCTCTCATCGTATCTCATTGATTTTACTGATTAAAGGCTTAAGATGCATTCCACTAGATATAAATTTGCAGTAACATCAAGTCAAATGTACCAAAACATGTATAAGAACATTTTCATGTTACATGGCTAAGTGATGATAATCCAAATTCTCATAACAATCCGTCCTAAGACAGCCAATACGATTTTTTTTTTCTTTTTTCGACCAAAAAAAAAAAGACATCCAATACGATTAGATATAGAAATTGTTAAGAAATATTTTTATATTAATTTAATAGAGAAACTAAAGCAAAGGCCCTAATACATTTTTGATGATAAAGTAGATATATAATAAGACGCCAAAAGCTTACACATGATTGTTGTTATTATCATCAAGAAACCTGAAAACAAAAAAGAACTCTTCAAGAACATCAGGAAACAAGAAACCGACTGCCAAAGGGTACATAGTTGCCCAAATTCTAATTCTAATCTTCTCCCATATCACACTTCATTAGAAAATGGTATACGGATCAACTCTATCACGTCTCCAGCCAAATCTCCGTCGTGGTTTTGCCTCATCTCCGGCGCCGGGAGCTCGGAAGTACCTTCATCTACATGCAAGCATATGTA